CCCCCAGCGCTACCAAATCTGCTCCTGGTGCCACCATCTGTAGAACTTAGTGACGCTGGTGCCACTGCTCTCAAATGTTAGTCTGGAGCCCTGCATTAACAATTATAGGATCAATTGTTTCCGCTGTTTTCAGTTTTGCAGCACACTGTCATCTAGTGGTCAGTGCCATTAAATGGCAATGTTGCAGATTGTTAAATAGTGGAAAAAAGTGCATGAAATACAATGCATGTGAGACTTTTATATGAGGGTTAATAGTGTTACAGTATAACCAGAGGAACCGACACACAAGGAGAGCGAGCATGAAGACATAATTGGGAACGACTCCCACAGTGTGACATTACTAACAGCCTCTACACATTGAGAGTGCTCAGATTCTCAGAGGACTTCTTTAGCGTAAAGAGCTGTGAAAATTGCTAGGCTGTCATTACCATTAGTAAAGGGTTCATTACTACAGCAACAAGAGCCATATGAGCAGCGGTATGACAGTGTGAGAGTGTGTGCAAAAAGGCACAAGAATAGGGGTCCGAGGGTGTTTTGGGGCCTGGAAAAGTTTTGACATGCCCTGACATTTGTGCTTTTTTCAGTAGTTCATCCAAAATTAAAGCTGTCATCATTTACTCATCCTCAAGTTGTTGAAAAAAACGTTATGACTTGCTTCCATGTAATACAAAAATGCTGTTCATACTGCTCTTTTCCATAAAATAAAACCAAATGGTGACCAGTGGCTGACAAGCTTAAAAAATGACCAAAAACATTATGGAAGGGGACCATAGGACTCACACACTATATTTCAAGTTGTCTGAAGCCAAGCCATACAATAACTTTACATACAGAACAGACAAAAACACATTGGTCTCATAGCTACATTTGCATGCAACCAAATAATATGTTACTATTGATGCCTGAATCGGACTGAAAAGCCTTCATGTAAACACAGTAATCGATCTGATGAATCAATCCAGTCTGAATGAAATTTAGATCGGATTGGAAGGGGTGATGTAGACCTAAAATAATCAGTTCAGGAAAAAATTATGCATGTAAAGGTTTGAATCTGACTATTTTCTCAATTTGGTTCAAA